TCAGTTATGAAATTTAAACAAAAATACCTTTTTTCCACTTTTGTGATCAAGTTTTTCCCATCATTCAGTGTTTTGTGTGTTTTATTTTGTGTTATCGTGACATTCAGCTGCATGTGGTTCAGACGATGTCACCGAGTGACTTCTGCAGCTCAGAAATTGGACTTTTCATATTTCAACTCATATTCAGAGAATATTTGATCTGTATGTCTGATATTGCAGATTTTGAATCAATGACATGATGAGAAAAAAGAGTGAGAATCCCAGGTTTTTATCTTTAATAGTTTTTGAGATGTCGTCGTTCAAACAGCTTCAAATTTGAACGTGTAAAAAAAACACTTTTAAAAAAATTGTGAAGGTATTTGATGGATGATAAATATCCTCAGTTTGTATTGAAAAAGCAGAAGGATGTGATGATTTCAGATGAAATAACTCAATAAACACTCTACAGAACCCAAACAGACTTGTTGGGCTTTATTCATGTGGATATAAACGTCAGCCCAGTTTGTAGTTCTACTGGACTACAAATCCCAGCAGCCCTGAGCTGGAGGGAACCTGCTGGTGCAGCAGCGTGTGGACGAGCCACAAACCCACTGGTCTGCTGCTGAAGAGGTGTTTTTACCTCCAGCATGTCCGAGGAGGACTCGGCCGGAGGCGGCTTGGTGTCGGTGGACTTCGAGATCTTCGGCCACGTTCAGGGTTCGTGTGTTTCTTCTCCTTCTGCTGCTTTCTGTCAGCTGCTGTAAAACGATCCACTGCTGCTTTATTTAGCTTGTAAACGTCCTGCAGCCTCACGGCACATTAGAGAAGTCCTCCGAGCTGCTGAGAAAACACACGCTGGCTAAAATGCACGTTTTAAATCATGTTTTCTCTCTTTTGTCATGTCCACAGGAGTCTGCTTCAGAATGGTGAGTTCCTGTTTCCTCGTTCTGACCCACAAACCTGCAAAACCACATTGTGTTTAGTGCAGAACCTTCACTGGTGCCAGCTTCTGAGGGAACTTTTGGAGTTTGTCAGACAACATAAGCCATTCAGGAAGTCATGATGACTGTTTTTACTTCTTTATATCCAGAGAAATCAGTTTGTTGTGAACATTGTGACCCCCGACATGCTGGCAGGTTGAACATGAGCGTCGTGTTTAAAACATCTCCATAATCACACCATGTGTCAGAGCCAGAAGCCAGAACAACTGGAAAAACAGAGCAGCTTTAACCTCTTCATGTCCGTCCTGCAGTACACGGAGAAGGAGGGTCTGCGGCTCGGCCTGGTCGGCTGGGTGAAGAACACCTACAGCGGGACGGTGGTCGGGCAGGTCCAGGGTCCGGTCGACATGGTGGAGGAGATGTGAGTACATGAGGGCAACAAACAGCAACAACAGCTGCACACACCGTAACAAACACAGTAACTAACACAGCAGCAACAGTTGCATTGCTGTGCAGTGTTGTGGCGTTGCTACCTCTGGCCACCAGATGGCGCTCTGCACCTTCACAACGCTCTAATCTCTCTGTTACCCCTTCTCCACCAAGAAGAACCAGGTGCTGGTTCCAGTGCTTAGTTGGTTCCAATCTGGCCCCTCCTCAGAACCTGGTTGCTTCTCCATCAGCCAGGAGCCCAGTCAGAACCGTACGTCACTGCATACGTTTACCGAACAACGCTGGCGCCTCACAGAGTCCACACAGGAGTCCAGACGGACTTTGTTACTACACTTCCCACCTGGTCACAGACAGAACATCTGACCTGCTGAACATGTTCTTATCCATAGACGCTACAGTTTACGATGTTCCCTGAACGCCCCACATAGCAGGCTGCGCTAGCTGCTGCTGGAGGCCGCGATGCTCAGACCGGTGTGAGACCAGAGATGACTTTATAAAGGGTAGACCAGGAGGTTCTGGTGTCAGATCGGTCCAGGATGAAACCCAGTGATCTGTTCTCATGAGCTGTAGCTGCTCTGTTTGTCACCAGAACACCTCATTTCTAAGCTAAACACTGAAGTTCTAACAGTCCTGTTCTCCACCACTGTGGTGCTGCTGCTGGGACACAGTTGGACCGGGTTTCAGCAGTTTGTGCAGAACCTCCATGTGTCCCGGGACTCATTCCAGTACATCTGTGATCAGACCAGAGACGTCCTGGAGAAAAACGACACAAATCACTGCTTGTGGGTCCCATCCATCGGTGTCGGTGGTCCTGATGACCCGCCCCCAGCCCCTGACGGTTCTTAGCTCTGGCCCAGCAAAGAGCTGGTTCTGGCTAAGCACCAGTTCTGAGAACCTGCAGCTGGTGCTTAGGCAGTGGACACACAGAGAACTGGTGCTGAGTCAGGCTCTGGCTCCGAACCAGACCTGGAACCGGCTCGGTGGAAAAGGTGTAAGAGTGCCGTTATGTCACCCCATGGCTGCAGCAACCAACACAGCAACAGTTGCATTGCTGTGTTGAGTTGTTGTTGCTGCCTCCGGCCACCAGAGGGCGCTGTGCACCTTCACAACGCTCTAATCTCTGAGTGACA